CTACTGGACTGGTAACCTTGGTTTCATAACTGAGGGAAATACTTACCTCTGTTGCTATTGGGAAATACCAACGCAAATTACAAGCATCATCCCCCAAGCTTGAGCAATGCTTTATCCTTCACGAGGCCAAATATTTTATATATAATTATGATCACGATGAACCAGATGCATGGGGTATTTTTTTATGAAATTCCAATTTTAGCCGATTCCAATCCCATATTCCAATATCATCATATAGCCTATATCATGGCAACGCCTTTCCCTTCAAAGATAAAGGGAAAACCTTCTTCTTAACTTCATCTCCGAGTAAACCTGCAAGCTAAAATAATCCACAAACTTCATCTACATAGATTAAGTGCAAATCAGGATGTAGCATTCCATCTCCTACATAAGAATTAGCTAGCAGTTTCTCTATCATACCTAAGGGAATCTCATAAGAAATATTTTCAGTAGGTGCAGTAGGTTGAGGAGTAACTCTTTGTGCTTCTGGTCGAGGTGAAGATACCCCGAACAAACCCCTCAAAGGGTGGTTTTCCATAATAACAAGTAACAGTAAATTTCAGCACGTAATATAAATGTTTCCTTGCTGAATTCCATTTACCAGAGCACTCCGTGGGAACGGTACCAGAAAAGAGCCTTGATGACCCACAAGTATAGGGTATCAATCGTAGTCCTTTCCATAAGTAAGAGTATCGAACCCAACGAGAAGCAAAAGGAAATGACAAGAAGTTTTCATCAAGGTATTTTCTGCAAGCACTGAAATTATCGGTAACGAGTAGTTTGATAGCAAGATAATTTGTAACAAGTGATAAGCAGCATTAGTAACTAAGGTGCAGCAACGTAGCCCAATCCTTTTTGTTGCAAAGGACATGCCGGAACGATCTCTTATAAAAAGCTAAGTGTTCTTGAGGACACACGGGAATTTCATCTAGTAACTTTCATCATGTTCGTTTGATTCGTATTTGCTACTTTGATAATTTGATATGTGGGTGGACCGGTGCTTGGGTACTGTTCTTACTTGAACAAGCCTCCCACTTATGGCAACCCCTCTCACAAGCATCCATAACTATGAAAGAAGAATTAAGATAAATCTAACCATAGCCTTAAACATATGGATCCAAATTAGCCCCTTACGGAATAGCGCATAAACTAGGGTTTAAGTTTCTGTCACTCCAGCAACCCATCATCTAATTACTACTCCACAATGCATTTACTTATGCCCAAATATGGTGAAGTGTCATGTAGTCGACATTCACATAACACCACTAAGGGTATCAACAACATACATATCATCAAAATATCGAACGAATACCAGATTCACATGATTACTTATGACAAGACTTCTCCCATGTCCTCAAGAACAAAAGTGACTACTCACACATCATATTAATGTCCAAGATCAGATGGGTATTGAATAGCATAATGGATCTGAACATATAATCTTCCACCAAATAAACCAACTAGCAACAACACTACTAGCAACCCCCATGTACCAATTTGAGGATTTGATACAAAGATTGAATACAAGACACGAATTAGGGTTTGAGATGAGATGGTGCAAGTGAAGATTTTGATGAATATTGGTCCTCCCACGATGAGAGGGTTGTTGGTGATGACGATGGCTTAGATTTCCCCCTCCCGGAGGGAAGTGTCCCCGACGGAATCGCTCCGCGGAAGAGCAAAAGTACTCCTGCCTAAGTTCCGCCTCGATACGGCGGCGCTCCGTTCCGAACGTACTCTCCTTATTTTTTTTCTAGGGCAAATGGGCTTATATACCAGACGACGGGCACCGGAGGCTGGCCAGGGGCCCCACAAGCCAGCAGGGTGCACCCTAGTGCCTGGAGGGCACCTGCGTGGCCCCCTCTGGTACTTCTTTGCTCCAATATTTTTAATTTATTTCAAAATAAATGTCCGTGAAATTTCAGCTCATTTGGAGATGTGCAGAATAGATATCTCTGACATAGCTTTTTCAGGTCCAGAATTCTAGCTGCCGGCAATCTCCCTCTTCATGTAAATCTTGCATATTAAGAGAGAAAAGGCATTAGAATTGCTCCACAAAGTGTTATATTGATTAAAAACACTATAAGTAACAGTAAGAAATCATGATGCAAAATGGACGTTTCAATGAACTACTCAATTCAAATCCATTTGAATTTTGAATTTTCTTCCAAAAGAAAAGGTGCTCTAAAATCTATTTGGGATATTCCTAATCTGCTAGACTTTTTGTTTGGGCATTTTGGAAAAATATTTTTTGCACTTTATATTTCCTTTTGAATTTGAATTTTGTTCCAAAACCAATTGTATTTCAAATCCAATTTGAAAATTGGTAGAAGGTCAAACACATCATTTGTACTTATGAAATTTCCTTTTCCTGCCAAATAAATGCAAATCCGTTTTTAAATATTTCCCTTTGGCTTTTGAATTGATTCCAAAACAAATCCAACTCAAACCACTTAGGGGAAATTTCATTGGGCTTGAATACCATTTGGGTCTTATTAAGGATGGCCTTATGCCCAAATAAATATTTTAAAATAATTTGGTTTCAACTAAAGTCTAGCTAGGTTTCCACTAGTTGCATCAGGCTTTGCCCTTCATATGCAAACATTCAAGCAAACAAGGTCAATCACAAGCAATTCTAGGCAATCATGAGTTTTTCCTTGAAGTTTTTTAATTCACTGTGAAATTTTCAATATACTAGATTTGGAAAAATCTGGGATGTGACAACCGTACAAGTAGAGCCGTGTGAATTTTACTCTAAATATATGGATCATACAGACTCACAACAACTATCAAACAATTGTACTGCTTGCGTAAAACACCGCACTTGCACGTCCAGAAATATAGCACGAACAATGGTAATCAGTGCAATCACCACAATATGAGAGTCATTGTGGTATTATAGCAATGTAGATCAAGCAGTCAGCAGTATGGGCGGCTGCTGTGCTGTGTAATAACTAGTATTACCTCCGTACCAAAATATAAGAAGTTTTTATAGGCTAAGGGTATCTCCAACGTTGACCCATAAATTTGCTCCGGCATCTGTCCGCGGACAGGGGGACTAGCCCGCGGACATTGTTGCCAGAGGCTGCCATCCAATGTTGCGCGCATGCATTTCCACAATTATTGAAACTAAATAGACGAAATTTATGCAAACACGGCGGATTCATATAAACGGGACTACATTCATGCAAACATGGCATGATTTTCATTACATTTCAAACATTTAGAAAAAAAAAATATGCTACCCTAAATCTACCCTACGGTGGCGTCTGGCGTCCAAGCCCTTGTTGTTCCCTTCCTGGGATCGTGTCCCCCATCCGCCGTCTCCATGAATATCGGAATAAGACCGATGAAGTGAAGGGGCGGTCTACGTAAGAAAGGGTTGAACATGGGAGACAAATCGGCCCACATGGGACACAAGGCCCCACCACCTTCCATGCCCTACTCACCCTTGGAGGACTCCGCGTCTTGTCCGTCGCTGGTGGACGTGAGGTCCATGATGGAAAAGGAGGCGCTTGCACTCTCGTCGTCCCATCGGGCCGTCCGAAAGTTCGCGGGCGGCTCGTAGGACGCGCAACTGGCGTTGTTCTCGTCCGTGATTGCCTGCAGCTATGCCTCAACGGCAGCATGTTCCTGGCGAGCGACGGCTTGAACAGGGCGGCCTCGTAGATTGCACCCTACTCCGTGGCAAAGTTGGGGTTCGCCGTGGCCATGGCCTCCTGGCTCGCGCGCTCGCTGTCGATTAGGCCCTTCGTCAGCCAGTGTTGCTCGAGGAGCAACAAGTTGTACCGTTATTTCTCCTGCGCCTGCTGGAACACCGACACAGGCGCCAACGCGAGCTGCTCCTCTGCCATGGTGGTGTTGAAGTGCGCATGTGCCTGCTCCATGGTGAAGACGGCATGCACTTGCGCGTGGGTCGATGCGGTGTCGTCGGAGCCCGTCTCCACCGTGGGGTCATCCTTGTCGTCGAAGACCTCGGGCAAGTTGATCGGCATGCCGGCCTCGATCCGCCTGGCACGGCAGCTCTGCCAGGTGGCCGCAAGGGCGGCCATTGCGGCCACCTCGTGCTTTATCTCCATCAAAAGACTCTCCCGCAGAGCGTTGCCGCCTGCAATCATGGCGGATGTGGTGCAAGGGAGGAGGGTGTGGAGTGGTTTGTGTTATGGCATGGAGTTAGCTAGGTGTGGCCACCTTTAAATAGTGAATTCCAGTGAGTCCAGGCGTCCGGGTGCGTCAATGCACGGAGCCGGAGTGGGTTTCTCGGCCGACGAGTCTGCTTAATGGCGGCATACGGATGGGCGGGACATTCACCGGGCGTGATAGATATCCGTCCCCTCCCGTCAAGTAACACGTCTCCGGCATTGAAGAGGCACGGACACCAGGGATGTGTTGTGGGCAGCGCCCTCGGCCGGCGCGCTGCTTCAGTGGCGGAGCCAATGAGAAGTCATGTCCATTCCGGTCCGACGTCAATACGGAGCGGCCGCTGTACGACATATGAATTCAGGCAACTGGCACCAAACGGGAACGCGCGCGAACAAGGTGGGGAGCGTTTGGATGGGTCTGGGCGGTCAGAGCAGTTGTTGGTGTTGTCTGGACGTCCGCAAAACCCTCCTAGTTTGTTTCTGTTTTGTGAGAGAAAATGTGTCAAGATCATTCTGTGGACCAATGCAGAAGCACGTCAGATGGCACAACAAGTCCGGACCGTGCAGTCCGGTCAGTTACGGACGGTTTGAGTGAGATGCACTAAACGTCTGGATAGTAATAAGCATGGAGCATCCGTGTCATTTGATCTTTTGTTTCCATTTGTTAATCCACAAGTGCCGGCTTTCCACATAGCTGCCTTGGCCGGCCGCTAACTCCACTTCTAATTTAGAAACGAAAAGTAATGCCGTGTACTCGAGAGACCCGTCAAAGCTAGCACCATCTCCAGTAACTTAAACCATAATATCGTGTAAGAGGGAGCACAGAAGAGCCAATCGGCTTGTTCTTGACAATCATCCATGGAGGCGGCACTGGATAGCGGTGCAAAGGTAAAGCACATCATCCTCGTCCACGGCGTGTGCCACGGAGGCTGGAGCTGGTACAAGGTTGCGGCGGGGCTACGGTCTGCGGCTGCGGCGGCTGGGCACGCCTACCGCGTCCACGCGCCGGACCTAGCCGCGTCGGGCATCGATGACCGCCGGCTGCCAGAGGTAGCAACGTTCAGCGAGTACACGGGGCCGCTGCTCGATGCACTCCGGTCGCTCCCGGCCGGGGAGAAGGCGGTGAAAGATATGAAGCGTTTCTACTCCATCGAGGGAGCCGCGTGGTAGTTTATATTGATGCGTGGCCGAAGCCTGGCTTGACGTACAAGGTTATGACAGAAAGAGTTTGGGTAGAATACAAGAGATGGAAGGAGGTTGAGATTACAACTCTATATTCTAACACTCTCCCTTAATCTCAACTAACCTAAGTTAAGATTACTCTTGAATTCTTCAAATGGTCTTGCTGGTAGTGCTTTTGTAAAACCGTCAGCCACTTGATCCTTAGAAGGAATAAATCGAATCTCAAGTTTCCTTGCCGCAACCCTTTCTCGTACAAAGTGAAAATCAATTTCTATGTGCTTTGTCCTGGCATGGAACACTGGATTTGCAGACAGATATGTTGCTCCCAAATTATCACACCATAAACATGAGATACGATTCTTCTTGATTCCCAATTCCTCAAGAAGTGATTCAACCCAAATGATCTCAGCAGTTGCATTAGCCAAAGACTTGTATTCAGCTTCTGTACTTGAGCGTGACACAGTAGCTTGCTTTCTAGCACTCCAGGAGATAAGATTAGATCCAAAGAACACTGCAAAACCTCCAGTTGATCTTCTGTCATCACTACATCCTGCCCAGTCAGCATCAGAGAATGCACTCACAAGAGAAGAATTAGCCCGTTTGAAATGAAGTCCTATTCCCATAGTATGTTTCACATATCTCACAATCCTCTTGACAGCTGACCAATGTGCAGAAGTAGGTGCATGAAGATATTGACAAACCTTGTTGACAGCAAATGAGATAACTGGACGTGTGAGAGTTAAATATTGTAGTGCTCCCACAGTACTCCTATACCTTGTACTCTCCTCCTCTTGAAGTGGCTCACCCTCATATGCTGAGAGACTTTCTGAGGAGGATAAAGGTGTAGACATTGGCTTGCAATTTTTCATCCCCATGCGAGACAGAAGCTCAAGAATATATTTTTCCTGATTTAACACAATACCATCTTGAGTTTTCTTGACTTCAATACCCAAGAAGAAATGCAAATCACCTAGGTCCTTCAAGGCAAACTCTAAGCTCAAATCATGCAAAAGAGCATTAGTAGCATTTTGTGAAGAACTTGCTACTATGATATCATCAACATATATAAGCACAAAAATGACTACTCATGCCTTGTTATAAATAAACAAGGATGTGTCAGCCTTGGAAGCAACAAAGCCAAGATATTTTAACTGTGAGCTCAATCTGGAATACCATGCTCTGGGTGCTTGCTTTAGACCATAGAGTGCTTTATCAAGCTTGCAGACATACTGTGGCAATTTCTTACTCTCATACCCAGGTGGTTGTCTCATAAACACTTCCTCTTCCAGAACACCGTGCAGAAACGCATTCTGTACATCTAGCTGCCTTAAACTCCATCCTCTGGATACAGCAATGGCTAACACAAGTCTGATAGTTGCAGCTTTCACAACGGGACTAAAGGTGTCCTCATAGTCAATGCCATAACGTTGCTTAAAACCCTTTGCAACTAGACGTGCCTTATATCTGTCAATGGAGCCATCTGCTTTCTTCTTAATTCTATATACCCATTTGCAATCAATAATATTTTTACCTCTCTGATTTGGTACAAGATGCCAAGTCTTATTCCTCATGAGCGCAGAATACTCCTCATCCATTGCCTTTTTCCATTTAGGATCATCAAGTGCATTCTTCAACGATGTTGGTTCTCCTGAAATACACAACATTCCATATGGTATAGTTCCATCTTTCCTAATTTTAGGATTCCGTATACCTTTCTGTAGCCGGGTCATAACACGTGAAGAAACCTCTCGCTGCACCGTTGGTATACTTGCCACAGAAGATCCAGGAGAATCTGCTGATGCAGTGGACTGATTTGTCGTCATATGTGCAGGGGATCCTGTGGCTTCTGGTGTGGCTGCCCCTCCTACAGGCACTGGCGCAGAGGATCCGCCACCCGACCGCGACTGGAGGCGCGCGTGGTGCGGAGAGGATCTGGTCCCGCCGCTGGTCCCGCCTGACGCTGGCGCGCGGGGCGAGGGGGATTCGGCCCCGCTGCTGGTCCCGCCTGAAGCTGACGCGGCAGCACGGGAGTGGCCCGCCCTGGATCCAGGACTGGAGCCATCAGGGGCTTGATCCGAGGCGGATGCGGTCGCGTGATCCGAGATCTGCGCGCGTGCAGGGGTGGCAGGCGCCGCCAGATCTTCTTCGTCATCTGTGCCAGCTTCGTCTCCTTCCTCAGCATGAAATATAGGATCAAAACCAGCCATATTTTCGAGATCTTGATCATTTTGAGCACCGTTTTCTCCAGGGACCTGCACAGGCATAAGAGAAAGACCAGTACCAGCAGGAATATCATCACATTGGTTAGTACAATTGTTGTCGCCCCCATGATCAAAAGACCGAAGATGTGAAGGAAGAAGAAGAATTTCTTTGCGGAGAAGTGCACCAGCATTAGGATGACGGGATGCAAAGGGAAACACGGACTCATCAAATACAACATCTCTGGATATATACACCCGACCAGTAGGAACATCAAGGCACTTGACCCCTTTATGCATGGGGCTATAGCCTAAAAAGACACACCGTTTTGAGCGGAAAGCGAGTTCGCGTGTGTTGTAAGGCCTAAGATTGGGCCAACAGGCACAACCAAAAATACGAAGAGATGTATAGTTGGGTGTGACACCAAGAAGTCGTGTAATGGGTGTTTCAAATTTGATAACTTTACTTGAAAGCAAGTTGATGAGATATGTAGCAGTTAAGAATGCTTCATCCCAAAATTTAAGCGGCATGGAAGCATTTGCTAACAAGGCAAGCCCCATATCAACTATGTGACGGTGCTTTCTTTCAGCGGATCCATTTTGTTGGTGAGCATGAGGACAAGATACATGGTGTGATATGCCAAGCTTTTGAAAGAAAGAATTTAGTTTTTCATACTCACCACCCCAGTCACTTTCCATAGCAATGATTTTAGAGTTCAGTTTGCGTTCAACAAGATTTTGGAAATTGAGGAAAACTTGGAATACATTAGATCGCTTTTTCAACAGATAAATCCAAGTAAATTTACTATAGTCATCAATAAAACTTACATAATAGGAAAATCTACCAACTGAAATAGGAGCTGGCCCCCATACATCTGAAAAGATAAGTTGTAAAGGGGCAGTAGACACACTAGTAGAAATTGGGTAAGGTAATTGATGACTCTTTGCTTGTTGACACGGATCACAAACTGACTCACTACTAGGCTCATAAGAGAGTTTATTTTTGCTAAGAACATATCTAACTATGACTGAAGATGGATGACCTAAACGACTATGCCACCTTGATGTAGATAGCTTGGTGACAATATTTGCTTGTTTATTGGACCATGAAGATGATGATGATGATGATGATATGAGTGGGTAGAGTCCTCCCACGCACCGTCCTCTAAGAATGACTCCTTGTTTTCAAGTCCTTAACCAAGAAAAAATAAGGATAGAATTCAATAAGAACATTGTTATCAAGAGTGAATCGATGAACGGAAACAAGATTTTTAGAGGTTTGAGGAACATGCAAGACATTGGTCAAGTGTAAATTTTTCACGGGGGTTTTAACAATTGAACTGCCAATGTGTGTAATATCCATACCAGAACCGCTTGCCGTGCGAATTTGGTCGCCTCCATTGTACTTCTCCCGCATCGTCAACTTGTCAAGTTCACCTATGATGTGGTTTGTTGCTGCACTGTCGGCGTACCAGTTGGTGTCCACGCCATAGGAGACTGCATGCGCTTGCTTTTCTTCCTGGTCGTTTTCTTCATAACGCCACCAGCAAACTCGTGCACCTCCTGGATGGTGTCTGTAGCATATCTGACATTCTGGATAGTCATGCTGTTGCTCACGAGCCTGCTGTTGCTGTTGCTGTCGAGGACGGCCTCTGAATCCGCCGCCTCCATTGGAGGAAGACGACTGTCGGTCACCGCGGTCAGCACGATCACCACGGCCACGGCCTCTTCCTCCACGCCCGCGAGATCTGCCACGGGACTGGCCACGGCCTCTGTAGACCGCATTAGCGGATGAATAGAACCCGCCTGAAGATGAGTCGCCTAGCATCTCCATCCTTTGATCAAAGGCAGCAATCTGGGCAAAAAGATCGTCGGCTGTGATGATGTTTTTGACAGCGCCGATCGCCGCCACCACGGGGTCGTAGTCGCCGTCCACTCCGGCCAGAATATAGTCCACCATCTCCGGATCAGATACGGGACGACCTGCAGCAGCTAGTTCATCCCCAAGACTTTTCATCTTCGCCATATACGCCGAGCTTGACATCGAGCCCTTCTTGGTATTGGTGATGGCGATTCTCAGATTAGTAATCCGAGACTGAGATTGTGAGGCGAAGAGATTTGTCACCGTCGTCCAGAGCTCAAAGGTGGAATCTTTCCCAACAACTTGTGCAAGAATTTCTGGAGACATGGAATTGAGAAGGTATGATAGAACCTGCTGATCTTTGGTGATCCAGGGTCCGTATAGGGGATTCGGCTTTAGAGCCGTGGTCTTGTCTGCCTTCGTGATCTCCACCATCTTGGGTGGAGCGGCATCGGTGTTGTCCAGGAGCTCCGTCACCTGCGCGCCTCACAGGGCTGGGAGGACCTGCGTCTTCCAGAGGATGAAATTACCTCTTGCGAGCTTCTCAGATGGCGGCGATCCAAGGTTGAGGGAGACGCCGGCGGAGGAAGCCATGGAGACGATGATGTGTGGTTTCTAGGGTTTTGGATTGTGGCTAGATGTATGAGAAGAGGTGGCTCTGATTACCATGAAAGATATGAAGCGTTCCTACTCCATTGAGGGAGCCGCGTGGTAGTTTATATTGATGTGTGGCCGAAGCCTGGCTTGACGTACAAGGTTATGACAGAAAGAGTTTGGGTAGAATACAAGAGAAGGAAGGAGGTTGAGATTACAACTCTATATTCTAACAGGCGGTGCTCGTTGGGCACAGCCTCGGGGGCCTTAGCGTCGCCCTCGCCACCGAGATGTTCCCGGACAAGGTCGCAGTCGCCGCGTTCCTATCCGCTTACATGCCGGACTGCGTGTCCCCGCCGTCGCATGTCCTCATGCAGGTATGATCTGATCGACCCCGTTGTCATACGTGTGATACTTGATGCACGTATTATACATTTTGTTTAGGTAGATATACACTTTTTTAATTAAGAACGAAGGCTTGTGAAGAGCCTGGTTTTGAATTAACAAAGCTATCAACCGGCCAGGAGTTATAACAGACAACCCAACTTACAACAATCGAAACGATACAACGGAAAACACTGGAAAGCCTACTCACTACAACCTCCACAAGCCCCAAATGAATTGCAGCTAGCAAAGGCCAAGCACTCCACACTAAGATCATATGTAACAGAAACGGAGCAGCACAACAGGACATAGCCGACCTTCGGGGATGGATCGTGCTTCAGGAACACCTAGAGAAGAAAGGAACCAACATCTTCCCTCTCAATCACCAAAGAGGGACCCTTCCTTCTCGCCATGGCTCATAGGCGCCGCACCATCGGGATTTCGAGAAGCTCACCCTAGAGTTGGAAGAATGTCGCCCTCGCGTCGCAAGGTGGACATAGGATGACCACATCGATTTGGGATATATCTCGCCGGCTGCTCCGCCACAATCCATGCCCAACTAGTTGGAGACAAGCTTCAAGGAATCGGACGACGCAGAGAAGGTAGCTCAATCCCTCACCTACATAACCTCTCGACCGAGCCCCGCACCCTTGACGACGCCTCCAGCAAGGTCACGACGCGCAAGGCGCCGCCGCCGCCAAATCCGCCGAGGATAAAGGTTTTCACCCGGGCAGGGGGGATCGGGGTGGAGAGCAGGGGACCTCGGCTGCGCCCCCATGGAGGAAAGCAACGCCCTTGGGCGTTACCGCCGTCGGGCCGGCCGGACCAGCCAAGGTTTCCCCCGGTTCCCTAGCTGACCATCAACACGCACCAATGCCGGAGCCAGAACGCTAGCCCACACCGGAGGCGAGAGAGAGGCAGCATGGAATAGGGATTTCGCACCTCCAGATCTCACGAAGAAATCTTCTCGCCGCGACCGGATTCCACCAGCCACCCGTCGCCCG